AAATTTTCATAATAAATTATACTTGATAATTTAATAAACTTATTTACTTAAAATTAATTTGTAAAATAATAATCAAAATTTATTTATTTAAGTTTTTTTATTATTAAAAATATTTAAGTTTAAAAATATAAATTATAAAAAATTTTAATAAAATAAGTATTTAAGTAGTCTTAAATAAAGTTATTTATTATATTCTCAAATATATATATTTAAATTTTTATTATTTAAATAAATATTTATAAAGAAAATTAAAATATCCAGTTTTTTTTGTTATATATTATATAATAAAATTTAAACTTTTTAATTTTTTTATTATTTATTTATTTTAAAATTAACTTATTTATCTTTTTTATTAATTAATTTTTATAAGCTTTATTATTTTTTAAATTAAATCTTAAAAATATATTTATTATAAATTCAAAATTATAATAATACTTAATATAAGTATAGATATATTTAATTTTTCTTTATATTTTAAAGTCTTTTTCTTCAATTTCAAGTTATAATAATTAAATTTATTTTAATTTTTTTTTATTAATTTTTGTAATATTTATAAAAACTAAAATTAAGTTTCTTGATTTATTATATTAATATTATCAGATAAATTAATTTTTAATAAAAATAATTATTATTCTAATTTTTTTGTAAAATCTAATAATTATTTTACTTTTTTTAATAATAATACTATTAATAATAAATTAAAAATTATTACTAATTCTTTTTGTAATTTTAAAAATTACTCTTTTACTTATAATATAATTTATTTTAATAAAAATATTAATAAAATAACTAATTATATGCTAAACTTTTTTATATTTATTAATAGAATCTTTAAATATAGATAAAATATTACTTATTATTAAGAAGAAAATTTTCTTAGATTTTTAATATAATTATATTTATATATTCTTTATTATTTAATCTAATATTAAAATAAAAAAAATATTTTTATCTAAATTAGATAGTTATTCTTAATAAATATCTTTTTTTTTGAATCATGCTTATATTATATATAATAAATCATTTCTTTTTTCTCTCAAGAATAAATATAACTAGAAGTATTATCTGATTTTCAAGAAAAGTATTCATCTTGCTTATCTCTTGCAATTTACTTATAATAATTCTAATATTAAGAATATTTATAATCTTGACTATCTTGATAAGAAGTGATATCTCAATGAAAAACTATCTGATACTGGAGACAAACTGTGATAATCCTATCTCATTTATATTCTTCCATGTCCTGTATTCTCCTTTCTCTTTAAGATCACTCAAACTTTTCTTTATTTTTGGTTTTGGTTAGAGCTTCTTTAAAAATCTTCTTTATATTTCTTTCTCAATTAGCAGTATTTTTATCTTACTAATGAATTAGTAAAAGGTTTGAAAATTAACTTTTTGTTACTCTATTAGTAGTCGGAAAATTATTTTGTCATATGAATGAAGGTTGACTGTATATTAAGATTACTTTTACACAAGATAATTTTTGTGCATTTCCCATACATTTTCCATGCATTTTCCATGTAACGAATCGCCTATTTACTCAGGCTAAATTTAGCAAAAAATTTTGACAGAATGGGAGTGCTGATCTAATCATAAATTTGGTGATTTTTTTTTGTTTTTGTTTACAGCTTACTCGTAGCAGAGCTGTTGGAACCTCGACCTTAACAACTGAACTTTACCAACGTCAGGTTTATAAATACGAGCTATTAATTATAACAACAATAATAATAAATAACAACAGCAAATTATCACAACATGAATTACAAAAGACCGTACAATGGACGTTACTCGAACAACAGGGGAAGTATTGATGATTATGTGAGGCGCTTCACTGAATTAAGAATAAAAGTAAGCAAGGTGCCTTTACAAGCAACAATCGAGGATCTGAGATACCACTTTTCCTCTTATGGAAAAGTTATTGAAGTAAAAATTGACGAAGAGGAGGGAAAGCCCACTGGCATGGCCTTTATTACTTTCAAGTAAATTTTCAATTTTTGCATCAAGGTTTTGATTTTGTGAATTTTGATTCCTTCTCATTAACAATTATACTTACCCTGATAGACCCCCCTATGACTCGGTAATCTCGATAATCAAGGTGCGAAAAGTTATGTTCCACGGGAGACATTTGATAATAGATTTCGACAGCAACAATAACAACAGCTATGGCAACAACAGCTATAGCAACAACAGCTATAGCAACAACAGCTATAACAATATAAAGTGGCAAAACAAAGGTGACACGCTTCCTGCCGAGTCACTCGAGATAGGCGTATATTCACAGCCAAATACTTTTGTTCCAGAGTGGAATGCGAAAACTAACGTGTCCTTCTCGCTTGATTACAAAAGAAAGATGATAATCATTGAGTTCAAGTTTCAAAATAACCTTTACAAAGTTGAAAATCTATTTCAATATGTCGAAGGCGAGTTCTATATCGAATTAGATGTGGAGCATGATTCCCGGGCGCGAATCACTTTCGCCACAAAATATCCTGGAAAATACTGGATATTGGATGAAAAAACAAAGACTAACGACAAATTTTACTGGTCAGTTAACGAGATGTGGAAGAGGAGAATAGATTTGTTTAATAGAAGGGATAATCTGAGAATGCGGCCGCTTGAACCGTCGTTTACTGATGGTACCGAGCATTTTGGGAAATGGGTCGTATATAGAATCACATTCTTGCTTGATTGTATCGAAGGAAAGTTAACAAGATTCAAAGAGGTAGTAAGCCATGCCGGCGAGTATAATCTGGCTGAAAAGCAAATTGATCTTGGCAAAAAGCCACTCAATGTTGGGCGACCTTGTACGAAATATGTCGAACGCAGGGATTTAGATTTCGAAGTTTTATACATGGTGGAATGTTGTGTTACGCATAATTATCTGCATGATTACAATCTGAATCGACAATTTTTCGAGGATTTGAAAAAATTATCTAAAGACAGAGCTGTCGAAATCATGAAAACATTCTTTACCTCTAAAACTCGTAACTTTAATCCATTGTCTGAGCTCACGGAACTCAAGAAGAATGTAAAAGGAGAAAACGTGAAGCCACCTGAATATTGTGTATTGATGAGAAAAGTTGTCATCACTCCAACAACAATGTATCTTTTGCTGCCGACTATAGAAACTTCAAATCGCGTTATACGTCTTTTCATGGACCACAAAGATCGTTTTCTTCGTGTTCAATTCACTGATGAAGGATCCAGTCCTATAAGTTCAACTGTCGGCTCAAGCCACGACGCGATATATAATCGTATCTTTCGCACTCTGCAATATGGAATTAAAATAGGAAATCGACATTACGAGTTTTTGGCGTTCTCCTCCAGTCAACTAAGAGAACATAGTTGCTGGTTCTTCGCATCTTCAGACACTTTGACAGCCGCCAATATTAGAGAGCGGATGGGTTATTTTACTGATAACGTTGTAGCGAAATACGCAGCACGCATGGGACAATGCTTTTCAAGCACTCGTGCTATTGTTAGTTTACCTGTCAACGATATAAAACTCATTGATGATATCAAGCGAAATGGGTATACATTTTCGGATGGTATCGGGAAGATTTCACCTAATTTAGCGAGACAAATTGCCGAAAAAATGAAACTTCGTTCTACTCCTTCGGCCGTTCAATTTAGATTGGGCGGTTATAAAGGTGTCTTGTGTGTATCTCGACATCTGAAAGAAAATCAAATTCAAGTTCGGCCTAGTCAACGAAAATTTGAGTCTCCTGACTGTGAACTTGAGATCATCAAAGGATCGACCTTTATTCCAGCTTACCTTAATCGGCAAGCAATTACATTGCTTTCAGCATTGGGAGTTCCCGATGAAATATTCACCGAAATGAAAGATGAGCAGGTGAAAGAGCTTGAAAAAATGCTGTCAAGTGATAACACCGCGATGAAGGTTTTACTTCATAATATTGATGAACATGGAATTACGCGCATTATGGCCGATCTCGTTAAAGCCGGATTTTTATACCAACGAGATCCGTTTATCTTGAATTTGATAGCGTTATTCCGTATTATGATGCTTAAAAACTTAAAGGATAAAGCAAAGATTTCCGTACGTAAAGGTGCCTTTTTATTGGGCGTAATAGATGAGACGGAATCTCTCAAAGAGGACCAGATCTACGTTTGCAGATCTGATGTTAATAATACGAGTCATAAAGAAGTAATTGAGGGACCTTGTATCGTCTATCGAAATCCTTGTTTCCATCCTGGTGACATACGTATGGTAACGGCAGTCAACTGTCCAAAGTTAGATTATTTGGTAGACGTCGTTGTTTTCCCGTCGCTCGGATATCGCGATATTCCTAATCAATGTAGTGGTGGTGATTTAGATGGAGACGATTATACGTAAGTTAAACATTAGCAATTTCTGATATTTTTAATTATTCTATTCCTTTTTCCAATATTTTTAACATCTATAGGATAATCTGGGACGAAAGACTTTTTCCAAAAGTGAAGAATTATACACCAATGGAGTATCAAGCTCCAGAACCCGTCGTAGTTCCCCAAGTAAAGATCGAACACATACGAAAATTCTTCGTCAACTATATCCTTAATGACAACCTAGGACAGATTGCCAACGCTCATTTGGCTAAAGCGGATTTTTATGAAACTGGTGCATTCCATGGCAGTTGCTTACGTCTTGCTCAATTACATTCTGAAGCTGTAGATTTTCCCAAAACAGGACGACCTGCTAAGTTCCCTAGTGAACTTCGCGTAAAAGTGGTACCAGATTTTATGGATAAGGGACACAAGCAAACTTATATTTCTAAAAAGATTCTCGGGAAATTGTATCGATCGATACAAATAAACGAATTCAATCCTTCCACTGATATTAAACTTGATGATAGACTGTTGAATGTGGAAGGGTACGAGAAGTTTCTGGATGATGCTCGTGTTCAGAAAAGGAAATATGATTCTTGTGTTCGGGGACTTATGAATCAATATGGGATTGAGTCTGAATATGAGGTGGTCACGGGATTCATCGTCAACCCCGTCACTAAAAATGAGAGGAAGAAACTTAGAGAAATTTCCAAATCGGTTATGGACGCAATAACGGGAATAAGGCATAAATTTCAAGCGATCTTCGAAAGAGAATTTAACACCGAAGGCCCAAACCAGGCTTCTTATGATACCAAAAAGTCAATGCACGCAAAGGCTTGTGCTTGGTATTACGTCACTTATTTCCCAAGTGAACTGGGAGATAATCTAGCAGAACATATGCTTTCATTTCCATGGTGTGTCCATGATCTGCTTTGTGAAATCGCCACCAAGAATACGAGTCGTTCGAAATCATCAATCGAGGAACTACTCAATAGTAAAAATAACGAGAATAAGCTTTCTGCTCCTCCCAGAACACAAAAACCACCATCACGATCATCTAAAAAACCAATCTGGCATGAAGTGCCTCAATATCATGGTATGATGGACTTAATGAATTCAAATGACGAGGACGGGGGAATCGGAAAGCTTCATGAGGCTGTTATTCAGTCTAAGTTTACTAATTAGATAATCAATCTAGCACAAATTGTGCTGGGTAATCTTCTGAAACTTCATTTTATTAACTCTGCTTTTATATTTCGGGAAAATTTTAACTTTCAATTTATTTCATTCACTGATTTGTTACTATATACATCAGTCAGTATGTAAAATTTTACCGTTTTCTCAAATTATAGCCTTCATAAATAAAGAGGGATCATCCCCAAGAATTCTTAATATGGCATGTGTGAATTACGGCCTTTTTTGGTATTGATCTTTAGCAATAGAGACAACAGTTGGTGTGACGTTATGAACACGCATGTTTGTCGAATAAGCATAAAACGCAATAATATTGTACAGAGTTTAATTTACAAAATACGCACTCACAACTGATTGTATAATAGCGCACACTCACTATTTGTCCGTATTCGTCGTTGTCGCCGTCTCACTTCAAGAAAAAAAATCAGAGCGTGGATAATGGCGGTAAATGATTACTACTAAGCATATTACTCAAAGAATTTTTTTGTCTTAGTTCTTTAAATCTATTTATGTATATAACTATAGGACATTGAAATGAAAATCAAAGCCATTAATGAAAAATTAAAAAAAGAAGAGCAAATGCGTCAAGGCGCTGTTCGGGTGAAATCTTCAACCTCTAATCCAAAAGTGCACGCTCAATGTGAACAAAACATTGCAGATTCGCAACGACGTATAGAGTATCTACAGACAGAGCTGGAAAAGTTACAACTTCGACAGAAGACACGTTCACTGTCGTCACCTGTTTCTCCACGACCTCCCTCGGGCGATAGTTACGAGACTAAAGTGCAAGAACCACAGTATGTTGACGGTAGTGGATCTCTCCAGAACGAACCACCAACTGCTCGAGACTTAGACTCGAATCAGGGACCTCCACCACGAAAACCCACGTCAAATTTGGGTGAGATTTTTTTTTACTTTATGTCATTCTCTTTTTATTATGATAATATAGCCAGTTTAGTCGGCAGTTTAGTCGGATTTGTGCTAAAAATGGATTTTGCATAGATCTCATCAAATCGGAAACACCATACTCCACGGAAAAAGTTGCTCTGAAACTTCACGAACTTGAATTTAAGCTTTATGTCGAGGAAAAATTACTAGAAGGCTCATTGAAGATGAGCAATGCGGTCCACTCTCAGGATCCAAAGAATAAAAAGGGTATCGCCGAAGTAAAAGGCAAAACTTTGGAGAGTAAAGAGAAAATTGCATTGTTGACGCGGGCTTTACAAAAATACAAACAGTTGTCTATTCCGGGAGCAGAAGATGATGATGGTGAGAGTTTTACTATTATTATTTTGGATTGGGGTTTAATGGCATAATGCATACCCAGGTAATTATGCCAATTCAGTACCTTGCGAAGCATTATTTTGTCATGATTATACATGTTGTAAGTGAGAACAGGATCATATGTGGGTATAAGAATCGGCCCAAATTAGGAGAGGGTACGACTAGTTCTGGGAATAAGATTAGCGATGGCCGAAAGATCTAAGTCCACATTTGGTGGATTTAGAATACAAATATTCCGTTCCCACTTGCAACATATATACATAGGATTTGTTTTCAAGAACTGAAAAAGTGCGGGCTGTGAAGGCTGCTTTCCAGATCCTTGTCAAAGAATGAATAAAGCTTTCGAGAATTTTTTTCGGAAACTACTATGAGTCTGATAATTATTTTGTAGTTCATTTGGTTTACTATTTTAAATTTTCCTATATGGTTTTAAGCCGTCAAAACTTAAAAAAAAATATTTTTAATTGATTATATTCAACAGAAGCAACTTTAAATGAATACGATTATCGATCAAATGGACTATTAAAACCTGGTCTTCGTCGTCCAGTCACGGGAAGACTAGATGTTCGTGTGAACCAAGCGCGATATCTATCACATCCTCCAGTTCGAGCAACAGAAACAACGGTGGTAATCAAAATTGACGGTGTACAAAAGGCCAAGACACGAGTGACGAAAAACGATCGTTGGAATGAAGATTTTGCAATACATGTCGAGAAGGCAAGCGAGCTCGAAATTACAATTTATGATAAATCGCAAGAACATCAAGTTCCAATTGGCCTATTATGGATTAAAATTTCTGATATTGCTGAAGAGTTACGAAGGAAAAGAGTGGTTGCTGAAAGTGCACCTAATTGGGTAGCTGCATCAAGTGACCGTTTTGAAACACAAAATAATCATACGAGTCCGGCATCTGGCGATACTTACAGTATTCCGTATCCTGCTACGCAGCCTCATCAAGGAGGAGTTCCACCGGATGGAATTGATGTGTGGTTTGAAGTAGAGCCTGTAGGCCAGATAAAGCTTAAACTTGACTTCGGTAAATTAATACTCATTTTCAATCTATGCATTAGAATTTGCTTATTGAATCATAATATTCTTTTTTATCTTTACTATATTATCAGTCAAGGAAAATCGAAAACGACCTGCTGATGCTGGACTTATTCGATTAGGCGCAGTTCGAAAAAAGAAGGGTGAAATCCTCTTGCAAAACGGGCACAAATTTATTCAACAATTTTTCTATCAAATTATGAAATGCGCTTATTGCGAAGAATTATTCGCTAATGAGGGATTTCAATGTGATGGTGAATAAAACCGCATTCATTTTTTATTGATTGTATTTTACGTTTTATGATTGAGCTATACTTTTCTATGTTTAGATTGCAAACTGACTTGTCATAAGAGGTGTTATCAAAAAATTGTGACGAAATGTATATCGAAATCTAACGCTGAGATGGTACGTTTGTTTATTATTTTTTTTTTTTGGTCAGTTAAATAAAGGACTCGCATAATTATCGCAATTTCTTTTGATGTTTATATATATTTATGGTTTACTTCATAGGATGCTGACTATAAACAACTTAATCATCGTATTCCTCATCGATTCGAAGCTATAACAAATATCAGTGCTAATTGGTGCTGTCATTGCGGCTATATGCTTCCATGGGGCAAAAGAGGAGCAAAACGGTGCAATGGTATTTACAAATTAAAAAACAAAAAAAAACATTAATTTACTATAATTTGGAAATTAAATTTATACTTTATTATTAGAATGTAATATTACCTGTCATGCAACATGCACCCATCTTGTTCCCGATTTCTGTGGAATGACAATGAAACGCGCTAGTGATATGATTGATCAAATACAGCGTGCCAACTTACTTCGTGATAAATCGGAAGAAATGAAACGTAAAGGTCAAGAAGAGAAACTTTCTCCAGATCAATATAGGCCGACACCGCCAACATTGCAACAAGTGCCACAACAGCCTCAGACACCTATACCAGCAACACCTCAACATAATTATCAGCATCAATTCCTACCACCATTATCGCAGCAGCCACCACAACAACCACTACTACCACTTCCACAACAACAGCAGCAACAACAACAGCAGCATCATCAACAACAACCACCTTATCCACCTTCTATTAATCAGATGCCCGATATTTATGGCAATAATACGATACTGCCACCACAAACACAAGAGCCTTATCCGCTTATGAATCAACAGCCAATCATACAAGTATGTATAATTTAATCATCTATGCCGTTTATTCTATATGCTTAATGATTAATCAAGTCTTTATGCAGCAGCAATTTCCCCCGCCACCTCCAAGTCCCTCACAAGCGCCGGATTATAACATGGTTAAGAAGCCACGGAAAGTTGGATTAGAAGATTTCAATTTCCTCGCTGTTTTAGGTAAAGGTAATTTTGGCAAGGTTAGTTAAAATAATTTCTTTTTGTTCCTCGAACAATAATAAATTGTTTTTTATTTATCAATCATCAATTTTTTAAATTAAATAAATATACAATTTAGGTAATGCTTGCCGAAGAGAAATACAACAAACAACTTTATGCTATAAAGGTATTGAAAAAGGAATTCATTATTGAAAATGATGAGGTCGAAAGGTTTGTAATATAAAAGCCTTTATTTTTATTTGTTATTATCCCATAAAAAATTGAAAGAATTAATATATTTATTCGTCTAGTACTCGATCAGAGAAACGTGTCTTCCAAGCAGCAAATCGAGAACGTCATCCATTTTTGGTTGGACTACATTCATGTTTCCAGACAGAAACCCGTATATACTTTGTCATGGAGTATGTTAGCGGAGGTGATTTAATGTTGCATATACAACGCGAGCAATTTACTTATCGGCGAGCACAGTATGTATTTATTATTGAAATAGACATTTTTATTGAACACTCATTAATTGCTTTTTTATTGTCAATACTATTTATTTGATAATTAAAACAAAAGATTTTATGCTGCTGAAGTATTACTCGCCCTGGAATACTTTCATAAACAGGGTATCATATATCGAGATCTGAAACTGGATAATATTCTTCTAACCCTTGATGGTCATATCAAGATTGCCGATTACGGTCTTTGTAAGGAAGAAATGTGGTTTGGAAATACTACCAATACATTCTGTGGTACACCAGAATTTATGGCCCCCGAGGTAATTTCCCAAAATAATAAACAATACGTTTACATACTGTATGTAATATACGGAATAATTTATTTAATCATAATATTATCATTTCAGATTCTTTTGGAACAAAGATACGGCCGTGCCGTCGATTGGTGGGCCTTTGGTGTTCTGATTTATGAAATGTTGTTGGGACAGTCGCCGTTCCGAGGTGATGACGAAGACGAAATATTTGATGCTATTTTGGAGGATGAGATCCTTTACCCTATTAATATGTCAAGAGATTCTGTGTCTATATTACAAAGGGTTGGTATTCAATTTGAGCCACCGTATAATATCTCAGCTATTTTCATATTAAACGAATTTTTTCTATTTATTAGTTATTAACACGGGACCCAGAACGTCGTCTTGGTTCGGGACGAGGTGATGCCGAAGAAATCAAAAGACATCCATTCTTTAAAGGCGTAAATTGGGACGACATTCTCGGCAAGAAAGTGCCGCCTCCTTTTTTGCCCAGCATTGTAAGTCAAATTACATTATTATTTTATCGGATAAAATATATGCTAATTCAATACAATTTTTTTTTCGTTAGTCATCTCCTACCGATACATCTAATTTTGATGAGGAGTTTACACGCGAAGTACCTGTTCTAACACCGGTACATAGTCATCTGAATTCTGAGGCTCAAAACGAATTTCGTGGGTTCTCATATGTGGCCGAATGGGTCTCAAGCGGCGGAAAGTAAAATTGTTGTAAAATAACTAGGAATAATGAATAATCTATGGGTTAACTAGTTGGCTAAAAGAGGAATAATAATGGTTTCGTTCTATTTTTGGGCGGTTAGATTCGATTGATAAAATGATGATGATGATCTGACTTCGATGTAATTTTCTGGGATATTGTTATTTATTTTGAAACAAACTTTTGTATTTATTTTTGGAACATTTGTTATCTTCTACTAGTATATACACATTACTCATATAATTTGCTTTTTAGTATAAACGATTTATAGTAAATTATTGATCTCCTGCCCATTTTTATTATCAATAATTTTTTGTTTATCCGTGCATGTCTTTGCATATTTGCATTTATTCGTATAGTTTAGCTTTTATCTTTGAATGGAAGAAAGATTTATCTAGTTTTCATCATCGAGCGAATGGATTAAATCTGTTTTGGTACATTGCTGATTTTTAAAAAAGAACTTTTTGAATTTTATCAAACAATAATAAAAGGATTACTTTGCGCGTAATAATTAACAAAATATAGGTTTTACCATATAAACTAAGATAATAACTAATGATTTGAAATAAATCACGTGGTTGTCGCTATGATTTGAGAATAATATGATTGGTTATAATTATTAACCAATAAATGGAGAATTTAAAACGTGATAGATCAAAATAATACTATGATTTAAAAAATATATACATTTGATATGCAAAAGTCTGCAATTAGTAATGATTTATATATATAAAATAGTAAAAATTGAAATAATTTCTCTATTAAAATATTCAAATTTTTTAATAAATAATTTTATTTTTGTATTAAAATAAAGTTAAGAATCTATATCTTAATATATATTTTTTTTGAAATTTTTAGATTTAATTTGAAAAGATTTTTCTTATAGTAAAATGATTATAAAAAAAAATTTATAATTAAATTATAAATTCAATTATAAAAATTTTTTTAAATTGAATCTGAAAATTTCAAAAAATATATATCAATAAAAAATTTGAATATTTTAATATAAAGAAATTATTTTAATTTTTACTATATTTTATATATATTATTATTATTAATTACAAACTTTTATCTATTAAGTATATAATATCTAAAAAAAATATATATAAAAATATTAAGAAAATAATTATTTAAATTATTAATTCTTTAAAGAAATTTATAATAACTTATTTCTAATTATATTATATTATTTTATATATTTTTTAATTTAAATTATAATAATAATTTATTATCTATTATATATTATTATAATGTAAATTTTATTATAAATTATTTTAATATTTTATTTATTTAATCATATTTTATTATTAATTTATCTAATTATATGTAATTATAATTATATTTTATAATAGTAATTATAAATAAAATAATATAAACTCTTTCTTTTTTTATTTCTTTTTCTTTAAATTAGTCTTATCTTTTTTTTGAATCTTTAGATAGAAATAAAATAGCTTTATTATTTTTCTTACTTTCTTCATCATCTTTAATTATTTTAATATATTTTCTTTCTTTAGCAAAGTAATTATAAGTTACTAATAAAAAAAACTAGATTATATAAAAGAATTACTTGAAAAGCTACTAGAAGTTACTTGTAATATAATAATTAAATTTTAAATTTAAATAAAAAGAAAAGTAATATTTACATTTTGAAAATTATTAGATTACTAATAAATATTCTGAATATTCTGATTTTACTAATTATTATTATTATTAATATTTTAATTTTGATTATTTTAGTTTTGAGAAATATTCTGACTAAAGATAACTCTTTAACTATTATAATATAGTGATAAATAAGCATTATTTAGTTATAACTAATTATAACTTATAAAATTTTGAAGTTGCAATATGTTATAATAGGTAATAAATAAGTATCACATACTTACTGTGTTATCTCTAATTCTAACTATTATTTTATGAATTTTCAAGTTATAAAACTATTAAATATATTTTATTAATATAATTTTTATTTTTATAATCATAGTAAATAATATCAGATTTATCTTTTTATCAATTTTGTGATTGATTATTATTATTATTCTGATTATTATATCTTCTATCAAATTCTACTTGATCTAGCCTATTAATTAAATCTTGTAAAATCTTAGCAAGAATATTTTATTTATCAGTTAGTTAAGCTTGAATCTGATAATAAATTTATTTAAGAGAATTATAATTAGCTTCTTTAATATTCTTGATAGTTTTAATAATACTTTTTATAAAATCTTTAATATTTAAATTAATTTATTTTTAAATTTCAGATTTGAAATCTCTCTTGAATATTTTAATCTTATATTCTTTAGAATATGTTTTCTTTAAATCTATTTTACTTTCTAATTCTATAAATTAATTTATATATTCTTTTATAATTTCAGTTTGTTAATAAAATTCTAATTTATTCTACTATTATTATATCTTATGAAATAAATAAAATTTATAAATAAAATAATATTAAAATCATATTTATCATAATTTTGATTAGTTTAATCAGTTAACTTATAATCTATATTATAATTTTATTAATCAAATCAGATAGTAACTAATCTCTCTAAATATTTTTTTACTATTTTAATTTTTCTTTTGTTAATAATTTTATTAGCTTTTATAACTATTTAAAATTATAATACATAATAAAAAAACTGGATATTTTAATTTTCTCTATAAATATTTATTCAAATAATATAAAAATTTAAATATATATACTTGAGAGTATGATAAATAATTTTATTTAAATACTTATCTTATTAAAATTTTTCATAATTTATGTTTCTAAAATTTAAAATTTTTAATAATAAGAAAACTTAAATA